GAGGGGTGGGGCTGTAGCGAGCTTGAAGATTTCAAGTTCAGCACGTCACACTTTGTAACTGTATCATGTAACTGTAATTGTCATCAAATTCGATTTTCGCTAATTGTCACAGTTTGTCACAGCGTTCAGTCCCCTCCCCCCTCCCGCACTCACCCTGCCCACAAGCTGAGCGACGCGGCCTTGCAGGAAGTGTGCTAGATTTTTACGTTACGTTACGTTACGCCTGCACTTGTCGTCTAATGTGCACGCCCGCGCGCTCTCCCCGCTGCCGCTAGCTACCATTTAAAAGCAGATAAATTTGTATCTCGCTCTCTCTCCTGCTCACTCTCTCTCTCTCTCTCTGTGTGTGTGTGTGCTTTCAGTGTGTCACATTTTTGTTGCCGCCTTTTGCTTTTATTATTACTCGTATTATTATTTGTTGCTATTTCTCTTCCGCTTCTAATGCCGCTTGGCCGCGTCAGACGCCAAATGACCTTGTGCTTCGTTTTGTTATTGTTGTTCTTTTATATTTACTGCTTTTGTTCTTGTTGTTGTTGTTGCTCCCACTTGTAATTCGCATATTTATACAGCACACATTATATAATTGTTTTTTTTATTTGATTTTTGTTGCAATTCTAAACTGGTTTTGTATCTGGTCTGTTTATCCGTCAGATACACCTTGCACCTTTTAAGCGTTTGCCGTTTCGCGTTTGGCTAACTGTTTCCCCAACAATAAGGCTAAGTAGCTAGTTAGCCAGTTAGTTAACTTAACTTCAATTGGCGTTTCTAACGCCTGGCGTGACATTGTTTTGATTGTTTCGTAATTGTCGCTAAATAGATTAAGTATCTATCTATATATATACATTTGTTATAACATTTTTTTTTTTCGTTTAACACAAAAGTGAAATGACATTTATTGTTGTTGCTGTCCAAATCGTATGCATTCCATTCCAATTGTCATCAGATCTATAGATCTATAGCTATTGTGCACATAGTTGCATTCCGTTTGCCTAACCCCAAGGCCTCTGGACATTGTGATTACTAATTTAGTTGCATAATAGGTCATAATCAATTACTTTCATTAGTATTTGGCAGATGCAATCCTCCGATTTAAATACGATTATTACCCATTCGGGGCCAGGGCTATATAAACAACTGTTATACAATCGCTCGAAAAGATTATATAATAGGTAAATAATATTATTGAGCAATATTTTGAACAGGGTTGTCATTTGCCTGGCTACAGATATGAATCTTATAAGCCGCAAAATGGTTTTCATTGTTGCCAACGAATCAAATGAAAATTGATTAGAACGCAGTTTGCGGAATCTCTATATAAATATGTCTATCAAGTATGCACCTATATATACAATTTTGAGCAGTACTAGGGCAACAGATTTCAAAGTGCGCATTTTACTTATAAATTGTTTATTATTGCCCACTGTGCAGCAGAACAGAGCAAGACAACCTGAGCGTATGAGCCATAAATTAACACCTGTATACAAATGTGGGCTATTTTAGTTATTGGAAAAGCTTTACAAAATGCTCTGCAATTGAGAATCGCGTAGAAGAGACCTCAGCATGTTTCTCTATGCCTGTCTATGCAAAGGAAATATTAAATTTAATCCCAATATACAATTTTACTCTTAAATATGTTAATAACAATTATGACTGAAAATATGTGCTTATATGGAATTGTTTGAGAAATAAAAGGCTTGTAAATATTTATATAAAGTAATTCACTTTTTCAGCAATAACAAATGCATTGAATATAAAACTTTGGAGTAGGTGGGCAAGTCGATGTCATTTAATTCATTCAGATGTATATATATTATTTTTTGTTATGATTGAGCTTTTCTTTGAATGCGACTGCGTGGACAATTGCTGGCATTCGTTCGAATAACAAGAGTGAAAACAAAATGCTTTTGATTGGAGCACATATACAGTATACGTATTCAGATACATTCAGCGGAATTAAGTATACGCACACACACATAGACAGAGAGCGAGAGAGAGAAAGAAAGAGAGGGGGTGCGACAATGAGTGGGGGGCACAGCTGATAGACAAGTGAGATCTATCAGAGCGACGACATAGTGTGTGCGTGACATTGACATTGAAAATATGCTACGCTTCGATTGCATTGAGGGGCTCTTGACTATGGCTGAGAGGCTGCCAGGCCGCCAGGTAACAGATGCCAGAGCTGAGCAAACACAATTTCACAGCGACCGGCGACCCATTTAGAAGCCCGAACATAAATCTCAAGCTGCCAAAGGCTCAGGCACACTTGGCCTTGACTTTTATTTACTTAACTTTTAATAAGCGGCCAGCAACAGAGCCCAGACTTGTTTATTTATTAGCCAAGTGACAGTGTGCCAGATAAAAGCGAATCAAAATACAACAAAATAAAAAAATATAAATAAAAATCAGTTGTCCGACGGGCCATATATGCGTATTGTCGTATAGTCGAAACATTTGCCAAAAAGGCGAAACCCAACCAAATGATATCATTAGAATGCTGCGTTGACGCTGCCCCACTCCGAGCTGTCGCTCTTAACAGGGCCTCTCTCCGCGCTTCTGTTCGAGCGCGGCGCAGCGAACAGGTTTCCCGTGTAGCTCAAACAAAAACCAAATCGAAATGAAACAACACACGAATTAATCACAGCCAAATCAAACTTAATTTGGGCGAAATTAAATGAAATTTAAAAAAAATTGAATTCAATTTAATTTCAACAAATTTTGAATGCATTTTGATTCGATGAAAATGTGTTCCTGATTCCCCCGGATCATGTATTCAAGACAACGCAGACAGAGCGGATATTCCACGCTGAATCAACAATGCAAATTTTGTGCTCGCTTTTTGAAACAAACAAACAATATATTAAACAAATTACAGACATTAGATATACATATATATACGAGGAGCACAGCATATATCTTGCATATATACATGTGTAAATATATATTAATTATTATATAATTAATTTATTATTAATTCGATTAAAGTTATTTAAATAAAAATAATAATTAATTAATGCACGTTTAATATATATTTAAAATATATTTTAATATATAATATACAAATAAATTGAAATAAATATATTTTGAGATAAATTCCACTTTTGTTGTATTATTTTAATAAAATATTTGGCAACAAATAAACACGACGTCAAAATCCTTGCCTAGAGCCTATAGAGAGTGTGTTTCGCAAAAATAAAAAACTTAGACAATGCCAGAAGATGTTAATTAAATATTAGGGTATTCCCGCTTCGGGCAAACGCATTATATTTTTAGCTGGACAAGAATTGAGAATTAAAAGCTGAGCGCGCCAAGTTTATTCCAGTTGAAGTTCAAGGTAAGAGCGGCAGTCAAAACAACAACAACAACAACAACAACAAAAACAAAAACAACAACAATAAAAAACAGACACGCAAAAGAATTATCGTATATACAAAATTAACACACAAACAAAAAATGCGCAGCCTTGACAAAAAAACACCAAAAATAAAAAAAAAAAAAAAAAAAATTGGAACGAAAATCGAGTTGAACAAATATGTTGAATGTATATGAACAGTTTGTGGGCGCTGGGGGCTGATGGGCGTGGCGCGGAATGAAAACAATTTCAAATTTAAATTGATAATTAAATTGAAATCAAATTCGAGGCGCAGTTCAGCAACGTTCTAATGCACGAATATATATATATATATGCATATATATATTATAATTTTATTAGAATAAATGTATATAAACAAAATCTGGGCGTGATGTAATGCGAATTAAGCGCTAATTTGAAGCCTATTCAAAATGCTGATGGATTGCGAAATGTGTACAAAATATTTATGCCTTAGAGTAGGGTTTGAATCGAATCAGATTCGCAAGTTACGCGCTTCCGTTTGTATCTAATGCATGAATACATACATATATATCTCTATTAGGTTTTATGACCTTTTGTAACTGTAAAACTAACTGTTATTTGCCATATAAAACAACACGTTTGTAAGCTGATATTTCTAGTTTCCACACACATATATCGAGATATGTTTCAATAATGTACTACATATATAAAAAATAAATGTGAAAGCAACTCAACTTTGCCCAAGTAACTGCTCTGCAGCTCCATAAACTGGCGATTCACTTGGCTGTCGAACGCTTCAGATTGCGCTACATAATACACAATTATAGATTTACACTGTGCTACAGGCTGATCTAAGCATTCACAGTAAATTAACAGTCATTGACATCATAAATGATATGATTATATGAAATAGCTTCATAGTTTGTTTTAAGAGTCCAAAAGGATTCGAAAAAAAAACCTTTAACTTTCTCAGAAATACAGTTAACATCCACTTGATATTAACTTATTTCAAGAAACAAGTTTCCTTCTAAAAATTAACTACATAATATTGAGATACTCAAGCACCCATTCGACTAATTTAAAAGATACTCAAACATAAATAAGTATAGTCAACACCCATTAGTTAAGAGGAAATCAACTATAATAAAACTTAAACTTAACAACAACTTATTACAAAAAGTAATACTTCATTCATAAATAAGATAATTGTCAGATACTCAAGGCAAAAATAGTTAACAGCCACTTGATATCAACAAATTTATAAAGAAATTGTGTTCTGCTTTAAACTGATTTTATAATATTACCTTTCAGTATTTATTTTGAAATGTTTTCTTATGTTAACTTTTTGCCTTCTTGTCAAATGTGTGCCTGGTCAGAAATAAGTAATTCCCTATATAAAATTTAGGATTTGGATTTTGCCTAATTAGGGCCCTTTATATATATATATATATATAGGCATATATAGATTATATTATGTAAATACTTCGTACTTTGTAGGGTAGTTTTTTACAGAACAAGTCGAGCTATCGACTCGCCGCGACAAGTCGCGTCCAGGGTCAACGGGTTACAGTTATATTTATATGTATATACTTAGTAAAAAGTATATAGTATATAGAATAGAGTATATGGCGTGTATATGCGGTCAGCTATTGGTAAATCGAGCACTTAC